TGTAATAGTGATGTGTGTATTAGTGCTGTGTGTATTAGTGATGTGTGTAATAGTGCTGTGTGTAATAGTGATGTGTGTATTAGTGATGTGTGTATTAGTGCTGTGTGTATTAGTGATGTGTGTATTAGTGATGTGTGTATTAGTGATGTGTGTGTTAGTGATGTGTGTATTAGTGATGTGTGTATTAGTGATGTGTGTGTTAGTGCTCTGTGTATTAGTGATGTGTGTATTAGTGATGTGTGTATTAGTGATGTGTGTGTTAGTGATGTGTGTATTAGTGATGTGTGTATTAGTGATGTGTGTGTTAGTGATGTGTGTGTTAGTGCTATGTGTATTAGTGCTGTGTGTATTAGTGATGTGTGTATTAGTGATGTGTGTAGTAGTGCTGTGTGTATTAGTGCTGTGTGTAATAGTGATGTGTGTAATAGTGCTGTGTGTAATAGTGATGTGTGTATTAGTGATGTGTGTGTTAGTGATGTGTGTATTAGTGATGTGTGTATTAGTGCTGTGTGTAATAGTGATGTGTGTATTAGTGATGTGTGTGTTAGTGATGTGTGTATTAGTGATGTGTGTGTTAGTGATGTGTGTAGTAGTGCTGTGTGTATTAGTGCTGTGTGTAATAGTGATGTGTGTAATAGTGCTGTGAGTAATAGTGATGTGTGTATTAGTGATGTGTGTGTTAGTGATGTGTGTATTAGTGATGTGTGTATTAGTGCTGTGTGTAATAGTGATGTGTGTATTAGTGATGTGTGTGTTAGTGATGTGTGTATTAGTGATGTGTGTGTTAGTGCTGTGTGTATTAGTGATGTGTGTATTAGTGATGTGTGTATTAGTGCTGAGTGTATTAGTGATGTGTGTATTAGTGCTGTGTGTATTAGTGATGTGTGTATTAGTGATGTGTGTGTTAGTGCTGTGTGTATTAGTGATGTGTGTATTAGTGCTGTGTGTATTAGTGATGTGTGTATTAGTGATGTGTGTATTAGTGCTGCGTGTAATAGTGATGTGTGTATTAGTGATGTGTGTGTTAGTGCTGTGTGTATTAGTGCTGTGTGTATTAGTGATGTGTGTATTAGTGATGTGTGTATTAGTGATGTGTGTACTAGTGATGTGTGTAATAGTGCTGTGTGTAATAGTGATGTGTGTAATAGTGCTGTGTGTAATAGTGATGTGTGTAATAGTGATGTGTGTATTAGTGATGTGTGTATTAGTGCTGTGTGTGTTAGTGCTGTGTGTGTCAGTGCTGTGTGTATTAGTGCTGTGTGTAATAGTGCTGTGTGTATTAGTGCTGTGTGTGTTAGTGCTGTGTGTGTTAGTGCTGTGTGTATTAGTGATGTGTGTATTAGTGATGTGTCTATTAGTGATGTGTGTAATAGTGCTGTGTGTAATAGTGATGTGTGTAATAGTGCTGTGTGTAATAGTGATGTGTGTAATAGTGCTGTGTGTAATAGTGATGTGTGTAATAGTGATGTGTGCAATAGTGCTGTGTGTAATAGTGCTGTGTGTAATAGTGCTGTGTGTAATAGTGATGTGTGTAATAGTGATGTGTGTAATAGTGCTGTGTGTGTTAGTGCTGTGTGTAATAGTGATGTGTGTAATAGTGATGTTTGTAATAGTGATGTGTGTAATAGTGCTGTGTGTAATAGTGATGTGTGTATTAGTGCTGTGTGTATTAGTGATGTGTGTATTAGTGCTGTGTGCATTAGTGCTGTGTGTATTAGTGATGTGTGTATTAGTGCTGTGTGTAATAGTGATGTGTGTATTAGTGATGTGTGTATTAGTGATGTGTGTATTAGTGATGTGTGTATTAGTGCTGTGTGTATTAGTGCTGTGTGTATTAGTGATGTGTGTATTAGTGATGTGTGTATTAGTGATGTGTGTGTTAGTGATGTGTGTATTAGTGCTGTGTGTATTAGTGATGTGTGTATTAGTGCTGTGTGTAATAGTGATGTGTGTATTAGTTATGTGTGTATTAGTGATGTGTGTATTAGTGTTGTGTGTATTAGTGATGTATGTATTAGTGATGTGTGTATTAGTGTTGTGTGTATTAGTGCTGTATGTTTTAGTGCTGTGTGTATTAGTGATGTGTGTATTAGTGCTGTGTGTATTAGTGATGTGTGTATTAGTGTTGTGTGTATTAGTGATGTATGTATTAGTGATGTGTGTATTAGTGCTGTGTGTATTAGTGCTGTGTGTATTAGTGATGTGTGTATTAGTGTTGTGTGTATTAGTGATGTGTGTATTAGTGTTGTGTGTATTAGTGATGTGTGTATTAGTGCTGTGTGTATTAGTGCTGTGTGTATTAGTGATGTGTGTATTAGTGTTGTGTGTATTAGTGATGTGTGTATTAGTGTTGTGTGTATTAGTGATGTGTGTATTAGTGTTGTGTGTATTAGTGCTGTGTGTATTAGTGCTGTATGTTTTAGTGCTGTATGTTTTAGTGCTGTGTGTATTAGTGATGTGTGTATTAGTGATGTATGTATTAGTGATGTGTGTATTAGTGTTGTGTGTATTAGTGCTGTATGTTTTAGTGCTGTGTGTATTAGTGATGTGTGTATTAGTGCTGTGTGTATTAGTGCTGTGTGCATTAGTGATGTGTGTATTAGTGATGTGTGTAATAGTGATGTGTGTATTAGTGTTGTGTGTATTAGTGATGTATGTATTAGTGATGTTTGTATTAGTGTTGTGTGTATTAGTGCTGTATGTTTTAGTGCTGTGTGTATTAGTGATGTGTGTATTACTGTTGTGTGTAATAGTGCTGTGTGTATTAGTGATGTGTGTATTGGTGATGTGTGTTTTAGTGATGTGTGTATTAGTGTTGTGTGTATTAGTGATGTATGTATTAGTGATGTGTGTAATAGTGATGTATGTATTAGTGATGTGTGTATTAGTGCTGTGTGTATTAATGATGTGTGTATTAGTGTTGTGTGTATTAGTGATGTATGTATTAGTGATGTGTGTATTAGTGTTGTGTGTATTAGTGCTGTATGTTTTAGTGCTGTGTGTATTAGTGATGTGTGTATTAGTGATGTGTGTATTAGTGATGTGTGTATTAGTGATGTGTGTAATAGTGCTGTGTGTATTAGTGATGTGTGTATTAGTGATGTGTGTAATAGTGCTGTGTGTAATAGTGCTGTGTGTATTAGTGATGTATGTATTAGTGATGTGTGTATTAGTGTTGTGTGTATTAGTGCTGTGTGTATTAGTGATGTGTGTATTAGTGATGTATGTATTAGTGATGTGTGTATTAGTGTTGTGTGTATTAGTGCTGTATGTTTTAGTGCTGTGTGTATTAGTGATGTGTGTATTAGTGATGTGTGTATTAGTGATGTGTGTAATAGTGATGTGTGTATTAGTGATGTGTGTATTAGTGCTGTGTGTATTAGTGCTGATTGTATTAGTGATGTGTGTATTAGTGCTGTGTGTAATAGTGATGTGTGTATTAGTGATGTGTGTATTAGTGATGTGTGTATTATTGATGTGTGTAATAGTGATGTGTGTAATAGTGATGTGTGTAATAGTGATGTGTGTAATAGTGCTGTGTGTGTTAGTGCTGTGTGTAATAGTGATGTGTGTAATAGTGCTGTGTGTAATAGTGATGTGTGTATTAGTGCTGTGTGTATTAGTGATGTGTGTATTAGTGCTGTGTGTATTAGTTATGTGTGTATTAGTGATGTGTGTATTAGTGCTGTGTGTAATAGTGATGTGTGTATTAGTGATGTGTGTATTAGTGCTGTGTGTATTAGTGCTGTGTGTATTAGTGCTGTGTGTATTAGTGATGTGTGTATTAGTGATGTGTGTATTAGTGATGTGTGTGTTAGTGATGTGTGTATTAGTGCTGTGTGTATTAGTGATGTGTGTATTAGTGCTGTGTGTAATAGTGATGTGTGTATTAGTGATGTGTGTATTAGTGCTGTGTGTAATAGTGATGTGTGTATTAGTGATGTGTGTATTAGTGATGTGTGTATTAGTGATGTGTGTATTAGTGATGTGTGTAATAGTGATGTGTGTAATAGTGATGTGTGTATTAGTGCTGTGTGTATTAGTGCTGTGTGTATTAGTGATGTGTGTAATAGTGCTGTGTGTATTAGTGATGTGTGTATTAGTGATGTGTGTATTAGTGATGTGTGTAATAGTGATGTGTGTAATAGTGATGTGTGTATTAGTGCTGTGTGTATTAGTGCTGTGTGTATTAGTGATGTGTGTATTAGTGATGTGTGTATTAGTGATGTGTGTAATAGTGCTGTGTGTATATTCGTGATGTGTGTATTAGTGATGTGTGTATTAGTGATGTGTGTAATAGTGATGTGTGTATTAGTGCTGTGTGTATTAGTGCTGTGTGTATTAGTGATGTGTGTAATAGTGATGTGTGTATTAGTGATGTGTGTATTAGTGATGTGTGTATTAGTGCTGTGTGTGTTAGTGATGTGTGTATTAGTGCTGTGTGTATTAGTGCTGTGTGTATTAGTGCTGTGTGTAATAGTGCTGTGTGTATATTCGTGATGTGTGTATTAGTGATGTGTGTATTAGTGATGTGTGTAATAGTGATGTGTGTATTAGTGCTGTGTGTATTAGTGCTGTGTGTATTAGTGATGTGTGTAATAGTGATGTGTGTATTAGTGCTGTGTGTATTAGTGCTGTGTGTATTAGTGCTGTGTGTATTAGTGATGTGTGTATTAGTGATGTGTGTATTAGTGATGTGTGTATTAGTGTGACTTGAATTCATCAGACAGGAAATGTTTTAATCACTGAAAATCTAAATGTTTAGATCACTGACTGATTTATTGCTCCCTGGAACCGATCACTGAACATAAAACAGACCACATTTATAGGACTGACTGGGTAGAACAAAGATGGCGTTTCATCCTCGAAAGGGATGACAAACCTTAAAGAGCTAGAATTTGCTTGTGAGCATTAACACGAGAATCGGTTCTCATCAGCAGAGTGCTAACATGCTAACACAAAAGCTCTTAGAGTGCAAAGTGTTGGGTGTTTGTGCTAACCTGGCTCTGTTTGAGAGTGGACACCAGCTTCTGCAGCGTTATGTTCTCCTCCTCCAGCTCCGTGTAGTCTTGAAGCAGCCTGGTTTCTCTGAACTTGTACTCCTTGATCTCCTCCCTCATTCTGCTCCTCTGGAGCTCCAGCATCTCGTTACTCTGGAGTAGACGGAGACAGGAAAATGGAATTGCTGACATTTCTGCACTTTCAGACCAAGATTTAAAGTCAGTCTCCGGAAAAACAAACAGAATTTACAATTAAAAATTATGATACTTTTAATAAACTCTGAAGATTGTTCTTGTGTTTATTTTAATGCACCGAAATTCTTCATACCAATTTGATCAGGACATAATATCCACCTGCTTTGATGGGTCCCGTTCAGCGTGAACACAAAGACTCTCTAGTGTTTTCTTAACACTGCAGTAGAAATAAAGAAGAGAGAACAAAGAAACCTCTCGTTGCATTTTTACTGCAGCTCCTCTGCAGCCCTTTGTTTCTGTTTGGAAGAACTGCTGACCCAGAGACAGCATCAGGAGTGGGCGGGCACACGCCACCAAGAGGTGGAGGTAACGAAGAAAGCTGATGCACATATTAAACACCACTCAAATCCCCCGTGTGTGTGTGTGTGTGTGTGTGTGTGTGAGTGTGTGTGTTTGTGTGTGTGTGTGTGTGTGTGTGTGTGTGTGTGTGTGTGTGTGTGTGTGTGTGTGTGTGTGTGTGTGTGTGTGTGTGTGTGTGAGGCTGTGGAATCATCAATAACATTGTGATAAAACAGTAAAAGTTGAATATAATCTTTCATCATAGACATTGTTGCTGCCAATTAAAACACATCTAACTGTGAAACTTCATTATTGTGTCCTTTATGTCGTCATATAAGCGTGTGTAATAAAATGTGGAAAACACACCAAAGCAGTAACTAATTTCACTAATCTTGGATGTGCTTTAATGTAAAAAAAAAGAGGAATCATGAAAGTGAGATGCAACCACGCTTTCCTTCATAACTGCTAACTGTAAAAACCTGTCATTGCTTTAAAGTCATTTTTACCTTCAGAGTTAATCTTAGAATGTCTAATCGCCGTTACCAGAGCAAAACTTTGCCAAATAACGTTCCTCGAGTGCGACACCTGCTGCTCACGATGAAAGGCCTTCCCTTCCTAAATAAAAAGATGACCTTGCAACTTTTTTATACTTTAAAATCATTTTCTTGAGCCAGTATGTGCTAAAATGACCCTTTACAGGGTTAATGAAATGTCACCCAGCCTGAATCGCCTCCCGTAGCCAGAATATTCCACTTGCAACATCAGACTGGCGGGCTGCTCTGTTGGGTCTTATTAAAATTTGAGCTGCAGTCTGGTTCCAGCACGTTTCCTGCATGTTTTAGATCATGAACACATCTGATCTGTTTAATTTAGTGATGAATCACGCCTGTAGACACTAAGGAAGGCTGGGAGATGTTTCAGCTTTTAGACTAAGGTGTTAAAAAGACAAACACACAACTAGTGGATTTGCTTTTGGTTCTACAAACGGACACTAGGGGGTGCTGAAAGCAAGCCAAAACTTCCCAGTTCCCCTTGAAAAGCCATCAACCATGTGGAGAGTTTCATGACTGGGGAGGCACTGACTGCTCTGGAGTCAGACTTACAAATATGTGATCTCAAAATAGGAGCTTTTATATTTTTATATAGACCTCAATAAATATTATGGTAAATTAAAATGTATTTCATTTCTTGGCAGAGTTCTTTTATTGCGCTTGAAAATCATGTCTCAACTTTATGTGTTTTTGAAGTCCGAGCAGCTGACATCTCCATCACTCTTGTAAAAACCATCCTCTAACATCTTTTGCTCTGACTGAAAATCCAAACAGATCTGTTCTATTTAGTTTGTTTAGTTTGTTTACGTAGCGCCAAGCGTCGTCTCAAGGCACTTCACAAAGTAAACATTTTAATACAGGTCAGTTCTTTAAGCCATTCAGTAATAGCCAGCAGGTTGCATCGAGTCACTGACTAGCATCAGAGTCTTTACAGCAATCCTCATACAAAGCAAGCATGTAGCGACAGTGGAGAGGAAAACTCCCTTTTAACAGGAAGAAACCTCCAGAGAATCCTGGCTCAGTATAAGCAGCCATCCTCCACGACTCACCGGGGATCGGGTTAACCCTGCATGCTCTAACCCTAACCCACCAGTGTCTACAAGGCTCAGCACTGACCCTAGTAGTGAGGCAGGGTATTGCCCCCACCTGTGCATTTTCACTGCATATTTATGGCAACTCAGGAGACCAAATATGTCTCACACAGTCAATAAATGAATCAGAAAGGCTGTAGATTGCTGGCATGTGCAGCACATGTGGAATAAAACATGTATGTTGGCGGTATGAAGACAAACAGCAGTGGGCATGCACCAGCTTCTTGCCACAAAATATCTTTAAGCTAGGAGGATAATCACCTTAATGAAATAGTTGTGGCGTAGGTAAACAAAAGTATTAAAGTAGCTGAAACAGTGTTCTGAGCAGGGGCGTAGCACCAAATTCTGGGCCCTGGGTAAACGGCAGTCCGACGCCCCTGGTTCTGAGTTTATCATGCTGCAAATGTTAATGTCCGTTCCTCCCTGATGGGTTTAGTGAATGAGTCCTCTGGTGCGATGACAGCCACCTGGCTCCTCTGTCCCTGCACATGTGCCGAGCTCAGGGCATTTCACTTATTCCCCAGCTTAGCACCGGATTTCCCCCCCACAATGGGGTCGTGGCCGCAGTGTCTGACCCCAGCGCGAACTCCGGCTGCAGACAAGTGGGAATTTAAACGTTGAGCACGTAGCTTGGTTCTCTCTGACCTTTCCGTGACATAATGACCTGTAGGCTTTTGTGGGAAAATGACATTTAGTTTGTAGACTGATCTTTTTAAAAACGTAAAACCAAACTTGCTCAAACAAACGCTGCAATTTAGATTCATGGTTTATTATTATTATTTTTATAGAACTCAATAAACATTAATATTATGCAGCTAATATTAATTAGCAGTAAAAAATGTACTAAAATAAAACAGCAATGGGTTTTTATTTATTTATTTATATTTTTCTGGTTAAAGTGTTAAACATTAATTCAGTCATCTGTTAGTTATGTTTTCACACAGCCATGGTCTCCGTCACTTTTCCAAACTTCTAAATATTAATAAAATATCAATGAAACCTCATAAGAATTTACTTAATTTTACAATTTAGTCTTTATAAACATTTCAGCTGAAGATGATAAACTACAGAAACTTTTAAAAGGATGGTTTGTGAATGACCTGCTGTCAAATACTGGTGTTATCTATGCTTTGCTTGCCTGCATTAGCATTATTAACCATCTGTTTAAAGAGGAAAAGGCCACTTGGGCTTGATATAGCTCCCCATGCTGTGCGTTCGTCTTTAATCTGACAGCTGAAATGTCTCCACAGCCCTTCTTGAGTGTCTACAGGAGTGATTCATCACCACATTAAACAAATCAGCTGAGTTCATGATCTAAAACATGCAGGAAATGCGATGGAAGCAGACTGCATGACATGATATGTCAGCTCAGTTTTGTCAGAGTCCCGCCAGTCTGAAGTTGCAAGTGGAATAATCTGGCTGCAGGGGGTGTTAGGGGCTGGGTGGCCTTTCATTAACCCTATAAAGGGTAATTGTAGCAAACTAAAAACATGAAAAGGTTGCAAAGCATTCCTTTAAATGTTCGTGCACAAGCCCACCTCTCTTAGATCCTGTACAATGGCGCTGAGTCTCTCGTTCTCTGCCTGGGCATTTGATGTCACGGAGCGACTCAGTGTCACCTCCGTCTGCAGCTCCAACAGCCGGCCCATGTAGTAGGCCTCCTTGGAGGCTGACTCCTGCAGCAGCGTCTCCTCGTTGGTCTCGCCGTCCTCAGCCACCTTACGCTGGTTGGTGTGGGCCTGGCCAAATGCCTGCAGAGATCAACAAGGAACAAGTGCAGAATTCAACCCAACATGTGATGGATTCGTCATGGAGATCCGACAGATCTGTTGTTTAAACTCACGTGGGGGGGGGGGGGGGGGGGGGGGGGGGGCTGTCCCCGACACCAGATACCTGTTGTGTCATTTTTGTGGGCTGAGGTTTCACTCTGATCAATACACACGGGTTTTCACAGCTGCAAAAGCTGACTTGTAACGATAAAGTCACTGAGGGGGAAAATCCAACAGGCATCAACAGAACCAACATGCCAACCGCTGCCAACGCGCTGCCGTTTGTCACAATCTGTAGTTCCTACTGCACCAAGATGGTTTCCAGAATGTGGGCGGAGTTTCACAACTGGAAAATGCATTCCCACCTATGTCTGTGCAGCGGCGACTGGAGGGGTTCAATGAAAGCTTTGACCCATCCGTTACATCCTCAGCTCATTAGCAGGAAAGAAGGTTATGGTGCCGGCAGTGGTCTCTGTTAGAGACAATGAACTGCACCGTCTGGGAAAACTCTTATGTTTACACTGTAAACAACTCAGTAGATCCAGACTCAGGTCCGGATTCTAAAGTTTCCTGATCACACGGCTACAAGGTCACAACATCCACCGACTTCAGACAAAAACTATTAATAACTTATGAACCGGTTTCCAAATCTCAGCTCACAGTAAAACATCCTCTTTACTCTGGATTATGAATCATTTATGAGGTACAAGTATCCATTATGCGGAGTTAGACATGAGCCTTGCATGGAACTGCTTTAGTCTTAAATGTTCTGTTTATTTCTCAGATATCTCTATCTGATCTCTGTAAACGTGATGTGCGTTTATGAGTTACCTACTTTATCTCAGAATAAATCAGTCTTCCATTTAATTTACTGTATTGTCACGTTGGAGCAGCTGTTGGGAGAAGGCTTCCACAGAGAATCAGCAGATTTGCACCATTTAGTCCTTTTGGGTTGCAGCTGAAATAAATTTGAATGACAAACAGACTTTTATTCTGTTGATAGAAACTCATCCCCATGCTGTGATTTAGCGAAGCAGAGAGGTATTCAACCTGAAACCTAACAGGGTTTGCTTTCTGCCTTTGAATTGCAAATTTTAGTTAGCATATCAACAAGATTAAGTCATATTCAGACACTGAAAACCACGTAAACACACAGGAGACATTCTAGCACAAAAATTGAGCTCAACGTCTTCGTCATTCATTCAATAAAGCATCATTTTTTTATTCCTTTTGTTTCACTCTCAGTCCACCTGACGCTCGTTTTCTCTCCAGGGAGGAACAGCGTGATGGTGGACGATGATTTAGAGCAACAGTCTCTGGTAGTAAAAAAACAAAAGCTGATTAGATTGATGAACAGCGCGAGTGAATGAGGTTGCATTCTCATCCTAGACGAGAGGCTGTCCATGTCTGGAACAACCCGAAGCAAAACAAAACAGCCGAGCCCCGAAGACGAGAAAAAGAAAATCTGGCTCCAAAATGTGAGATGAAAAATTGACTACATGAGAGCTTATATGGTTTCTCGACTCTGGTGTGTTATTGTGAGGTCATCGGACAATCAATGAAGACTTTGCAAGCTTCCAGCTTCCAGACAGTCACGTGTAGAGCTGAAACAACTTATCGATTTAATCGATTATAATCGATTATTAAAATAGTTAAGAACTTTTTTAGTCATCGATTAGTTGTTTAATAATCATATTTTACCGTATAAAGTCTATTTTTACCACAATCTGACATCGGTTACAATCTGTTAAATTTGCCGCCAGTGTGTGGCAGTAATGAGCCACTGATCTACCAGTGGAGCCGTAGAAGAAGAAATGAGCCAATAAGTGCCCTCGGTTTTCATGACGTATCACGTTACTGACGCTCATCTTGCTGTGAGAGATGGCGGATCAAGAAGAAATACGGAAGAAAAATAGAAGCGACAAAACAAGAGAAACCCCGGACAAAAACCTCACGAGTACTGGAGCATTTCACTCTAGATGCTTTTAAAAGACGGGTGACCTGCAAAATATGCAAAAACCATGGCACGACGGAAGCACGACGTCCCTAAGTGAACATTTGAGACGAAAACATGTGGGAGCTGATGCAGCAGAGGAAAGTCCGGTGAATCCGGTAAGTAACAGAAAATAAACAAGCTAACACAGATCAAATTTGGGAGCTGAGTTCGTTATAGTGAATGTTAAACAGGTTTTTTTGCCACGTCAGTCTACGGTGTTCTACTTCTGACTGACTAGATGCAATCGTGAATCTCCGTGTTGTGAATCATGCGCTTGCCAAATTTAGCACGTCTGTTTATAAGAATGTTCTCGTTAAGAGAAAAACGGCACAAACCCATAACTATGTTCCTCATTCAAAAAAGGACAACTCCGCGGAGAAAAATATACAGACGAGCTGTGTCCAGGTGAATATAACGCGGCATAGTTGTACGCTTTCAATTTTTAAATACAGGAGAAATTCAGAAAGTCATTTTTTTACTATTAAAAGGCTGTTTTACCGTCTAACGCTGTAAAACGCCTCACAACGCATTTTTATCAAAATAAATGATCACTGTATATTGTTAATTAATTCAAATAATGTAATATTGATTTAGTGTTGTAGTGTGTGTGCTGCTTTATTTTATATGTGTACTTATTTCAGTCTATTTGTGTTTTTTATGCAGAAAAAAACAAGCAACGATGGACAACTACATGGGGAACAAGACACTCACCCCCCAGCAATGCATACCACTTACAAACTTTATTCTAGATTCTGCATTATTTTTTATGGAATTTGCCTCTTATATTTTGATGCCAAAAAATTATTCTGGACTGATATTTTGCACTGTTTAGCTCATTTTACACCGCTGACTGTGTTCATGTGCAATAAAATAGATTGCAGTAAACTGCACAATTCTCTTATGTTTTTCTTTTTCTTAACTGAAATGTATTCATCACTTGTATAGGTTAAATAGCTAAACAATAACAAACCGATTAATCGATTAATCGAAAAATAATCGACAGATTAATCGATTATGAAAATAATCGTTAGTTGCAGCCCTAGTCACGTGAGAACCTGGGAGAAGCAACATGAGACGCGCTGAAACAGCAGAAACCAAAGATGTGCTTTTTTCATGAAGAACGTAAACAAACGCTAACATTAGCAAAGCAGCTAATAAATAAAACAAAAGTGTTTTTGCTGACAGCTCTAACTCTACTAGTCTACGGACTGTCCCAGCCAGAGTGAATGAATCAGCAGCTACTCATCCAGAGAAGAGCGGTGAGGGTTGGACGCACAGAGAGAGGCAGATGTTTTTATAACTGCCGTCCATCGTAGGATGAGCTGCTTGCCCAAGTCGCCTCGCTCCTTCTACTTCCCCTGTCACAGCAAATCACAGCGAGCGACATGGATGGCCTCAACGCACACAAATACAGCCGTCCGCTCTGCTTCTCTTCCTGCACCAACTACCTCCTCTGACTAAAAATAAACACAACAAAAACACAATTTTCCTGGTGATGCCAAATATTGTGTAACTATAGTCAGAGAGAACACGGCTTTTTGTGTCCTAATTGGCAGCCAAGCACTTGAAGAACCGGGCAGATTAAAGTTTAATGTTCTTTCCACTGGATTATTGTTTAGGAGTCACTCACTGGCAGCCTGTTTGGGTCTGCTTAATGAAATCCACATCATGTATTCAGTCTAGAGGCTCCTTTGCCTTATGCGCCTCGGTGTCCAGACAAAAGACTTCCCTTTGTGTAAACTCACCCCCGAGGCCACAACAGGAAGCGTAGCACACAAACTGCCCTAGAGGAGGATGGTTAGGGCTGAAATCTTCCACTGTCTGCATTAGTCGCTGATGGGGAGTCGGGGGACGGCTTTAGGGGTTAGATCATGTCACTCACAAACAACGAGAATCTTTTTTAATATTTTCTCTTATCCTGGAAAAAATCAATCACTGAGGGATGAACGAATGCAGGCAGGAGCAAGAAGTTTATTTGTAGATATTAATATAAAACTGGCAAAGGATTTATAAGGGCTGGATTAAACTTTAATGGTCAGAAATTATAATGCTATGGTCACAAAATAAAAGCAAATATTACCCAAATGTTATGATTCATGGTTAGCTCAGAATGCCAAATAGAAGAAGAAGAAAAAGAAGATTTTTTGTATAACATCATTCTAGATAAAAATCACAAGGCGTTTCACAAACATAATTACATTTTCAAAAAAGATAAAAATAAAAAAATGTAAACAATGGAATCATATTAAGATTAGTAAATAAAAAATGAAGAGAAAACACCTTTAAAAACTAATATAAATGAAAATACTAATAATGGGTAAAATTATATGAATGAAAGGCAATGCCTTTTCACAACTTGGCACAGTTTTCTGAGATTTAAAATGAAATACCTGATATTTTTTCATTCAACAAGATTAGAAGGATTATTCGCTGAAGAGATCACCGGCCTATCACAAAACTGACACAGATAAACAGCCATGGCTGCACGTAGTCCTTCCTAAGGCCAACGCCCAACGACAGTTTTATTAATAAAACATTTAGTTTTGTGTGTTTGCAAGTAAAAGCTCCCCTTTTATGACAAGCCACAATTGTTGTAATTATGTCTTTTTATTAAAGAAAATGCTGCATTTCTCTACAGTCTTTTTAAGTTAACCCATAATGCTTACAGATTAAAAATGTATGGCAGTTAATTACTGCCCCTTTGATTAATTATCATAAGAGGATAACTTTGTGACTTTATTCCCTCGTTTGAGACTGAAAATGAAAGAATGTTGAGGTTCCGACTGAAATGATTCCAGACAAAGCACAGCAGGCTGCACACTAATCTCATCTACCGTGATAAAACGATCAGTTATTGTATGAAGACCCAAAAAAACAGCGTATTAGTCGCATCACGGGAGGCAAATATCTCTTAAGTTACATTCATACAAACAGACACATGCAGAGAAACTGGCCCGCAGCAACAGTGTTGGCGCAGGTCCAGATG